CTACCTTTATTGGAGTGTTTGTTTTTAGTGAACTGCTTTTAACCTAAAACAGCATCACCCAGTTTAACAGTATACCTTGTCAATATAGTTTTCAATTACAGTTTTAAAAAAATATTTATTTTATGTGTAGGAGTGTTTGAATTTATGTATGCATGTGCACCATGTGCATGTCTGGTGCTGCAGAGGACAGAAGATACTGGATCCCCAGGAACTGGAGTTATAGACAGTAATAAGCCACCACATGGGTGCTGGCAATCGAACTCAGGTTCTCTACAAGAGCAACCAGTGTTCTTAACCTCTGAGTCATCTTTCTAGCCTCAGTTTTCTTTTTTACAAAAACAATATTGCAGACTAAAAACAGGCCAAATTGTTACCAACAGGAAAGCAGTCAAACAAAATACAGTACTGCCACATCATCTCTGGAGCTGTAAAAAGAGCAGTGAACTGGCAAAAAGGCTCAGTAGGTAAAGGTGCTTGCTGATAAGCTTGACAACTGGGATTTTAGCTTAAATCCACATAGTGGGAAAGAACAGGCTACCACACGTTGTCTATTGACCTCCTCGGGCACGATGTAGCACACTAAATAAATACAATACTTGTAAAAATATTTATTAAAGTAAATTTGCATCTTAGATAAATTAAGAGTAATACATAAACTATATCCTGATTAAATAAATGAAGGAGACATAGATGTTTAACATAGTTGCTTATGAGGGTGTAATAAGAACTGGGCAGATGAAGACTGTGTGCAAAATTTTAGGTCTGTGCATGCAAGCGTATCCATGGCAAGAGATTCTATTGGATATATTCTGTGGCTAAATCTCATCCTCCACCCAAACAGACACAAAAAGCAAAGTCTGAGGGCATTAAAATATATTAAGCCTAGAGAAAAAGCACCAATAACTATTCATTCACGAATGCCAACTATGAGTTAGACCAAGGAAACATTAGACTCACAGTTTGGTGAAACTATTCTATCTTACAGTAGTTTCCATGTAATTCATTTAAATAATTACACTCAAATATATCCTGACTACAGAACAGAATTTTAGAGAATAACTTTGGAAATAAAGTCAGTTTGCTTAAATTATTTCTATAACTGTTAGATGGATCAGTGGTAGGAGAGAAACAACTTCCCCAAGTTGTCCTTTGAAATCTACATGTGCATCATGGCACACATAAGTACAGAAATAAAAATTTAAACATGCAAGAAATATTATTAGAAGCACTAAGTAACTTTATGGTACAATTGTTAAAGTACTTAATTATACTACTCTATCAATTGTTGACTCAATGGTCAACAGTGGTCTATATCTTGCTAGTACTATCTCTTACCTCTATAACTAACACTACATGGGTTAATACTGCTTAGAAAATGCCCACTTTTGCCAATAATTAAAATAAAAAAGACTGCAAAAATAAGAGATCAAGTGTACTGAACTTTTACATTTATTCTTTAACAATTTGCTCTTTTAAGTACTGGACATAAATCATTATTTACCAGTTTGAACAAAAATAGTATGGAAGGGACTGAAGAGATAATTCAAGGGTTGTGAGCACTTACTGCTCTTGCAGAGGACCCATGTTTGTGGCTCACTGGCTCACAAACATCTGTACTTTAGTTCCAAGGGATTTGACACCTTCTTCTGACCTCCTTGGGCACCAGACAGGTTCTCAGTACTCAGGCATGCACTCATACACAGATAAAACATTCATACACATTAAGTAAAAATAGTATGGAGACAGATTCTTAATTTTCAGAACTGTTCCTGGCCATCTATTTCCACTATACCCTGCTAATACAAAAGGTGGTTTAAGGCATTAAAATATCTGTGGACAAAAGATAAAGGCATCCTGAGTATCACTCTGGTCAGAAATGCTCATAGTGCTATTAACATTTGTTGTGGGCATTTGTACACTGTGTAAAGATTATTGCTGTCACTGGTATAATGAAGAGCTGTTCAGCCAGTAACTAAGTAGGAGAGACAGGCAGGACTTCCAGGCAGAGAGAGGAAACTCCAGATGAATCTAGGCACATGAGAGATGCCGGCCAGAACTGGAATGAGTCGAACACACAAAATGGGATAGAGACAGAAGCCACAGGATAGAACAAGATTAATAAAAATATGGGTTAATTCAAGTTATATGAACTAGTTGAAAATAAGGCTAAGCTAAAGACCAAGTTTTCAGAATTAGTAAGTCTCCTTGTTATTTGTGAGCTGGTGGCCCAAAGAAAAATCTGCCTACAAACATTTTAATTATGAGTTAATTCAAACAGAATCATGTAGTCCAGTCCAGCCTCCAACTCAGTATGTAGCCAAGAATGACCTTGAGCCTCTTCTCCTTCTGCCTCTCTTTACCACCCAAGTGATGTAGGATGATAGAAGTATGCTACCACAGCTAGGCACTGAAAGCCAAACCTGGGGCTTTTGAAGTGTGAGGGCAGCACTCTAGCAAGTGAGTTCTATCTCCAGCTCCACTTAATAAATAAAATAGAGATAGCCAATTTTTATTTTAGCAAAAACATTTAAAAAAAAGAGGGAAAGAAAAAGGATTCTAGGTTGGTCTGGTGCTGCAAGTCTGCCATACTCCAAGTTCAGAGCCAGCCTGGGCAAACTAGTAAGACTTTGTCTTAAAAAGAAAAGGTAGAGAGAAACCTTAAGACAGCATGTGACTTCTGTAGACTTTCTAAAAAAGAAACATAAAAAGATATAGGCAAAATAATTACTCAAATAAAAGAAAAACATCTCTACCAGCTGTGGAATGGCAGTCGTTCTTATCCTTTTAAACACATTCTGATTAAAGGATACTGATTAGTAAATGTAAAGAAATTATGTGAAAGATGTCATGCTACTAAAATTTTAACTGTTAGTAAAAGGGGTATAACAGTTCCCACTAGACATGTGACTGGGAATCTAGAACGGTATCTATATGAGAAATGGATAAGAAGAACTTTTTAACAGAATGCCTGAGGAAGAAAAAAATCAAAATCTCATTTAATTTTGCAATAGTGTAAAAATCTTAACTCTTTCTGTTAATGTTTTTAACAGCTGAAGCAACTGCATACTTTATTATACTGTGCATGTAGTAGGCCTTGAAAAGCAGGGAAGCAGCCAAGTACAAACACTTTATGTCTAATTAAAAAGCTTCCAAAGCCGGGTGTGGTGATGCATGCCTTTATTTCCAACACCTGGGAAGCAAGACTGAGTGCCAAGCAAGCCATGGCTACATGTGAGAGCCTAACAGAAAACATTCACAATCTAGTGAAGTCTAATAGAGTATTTCATAAGAGTCTTGTCTTCATTCCTATATTGTATCTTCAAGTTAATCCTAGTGAATAGTCGCTCATTAAAAAATTCGTGTACTTAACAGATTATTATCAGGAAAGGAAATAAGGAAAAAGATTTTAAAAATACGACAAGCTAAAATTACAGACATCCGAAAGAAACACATGGCAATTTAAAAAATACCGGCAATAGAAATAAAAGCAAAACAAGAGAGGAAAGTTTAGTTATCACAAGAAACATATTAAGGAGCTGGAGGTATCCCCTTAGGTATTGCCTCACGCATGAACAAACACAACAAAATGCTACTTTTAAGCAAATACTAAAATATCTACTATGACTCTCCAGTCGCAGCATTTCCCTCTTTTTTTTTTTTTTTTTGCAAAATATGCCCTTCTGTAAAATGCAAAATTAAAAAAAAATACCTTGGAAATGATTTACGGATTCACCCATACAAAGAAGTCACACAGTAACTCAAACCCCAAATATTCACGCTCTGAGGCTGTGGAACATTAAAAAAATGAACCAGACTTCTCAAAGCATCTACTCGACAACTTTACCAAAATGCAACATCACCGTAATTCCCAAGGACCAAACAAAATGCTTCTCAATTAAGAAGCAAAACTGACAATAACAAGGGGCTCAAGAGCATGGCTCCCAATTCTCACACAGATATACGTTTTTTGACTATCAACATAATAATAAACAAGGGTTCAGTTTTAAAAACCTGTAGGTTTATTTACAAATTAAACCTTAAATAAAAAAGAAATCACATCCTCAAACTAGGCAAGTTTGTTTACTTCTATCCTGTTGATTCAAACACCGACGCTGGGAAATTTCTTAAAGCAAGGAAAAAAGTCATTGGTTCCAATTCCCTTAATCCTCGCCTCTCCCCAGCCCAAGCAAACAAAAAGCAAACCCTTCTCAGCTTGTCATTTTTTAGAGAACAGAACAAGCAGTTTAACTACTTTCTCCGCTTCTATTTTTGCTCTGAACCTTTACCTGGGACCCAAACTGACCCTGGATGAGACTCTTAAGCTGTTTTCGGGAGCCTCCCGAGTTTCGGAGTCAAGTCTGGGAGCAGGATGGACGCCCCCCTCCTAGTTTTCAGCCTCCCAGCATCTGGCACCGGCTGAGGTCCAGGGTGAAGAAGAGGTGGGCCTGCGGGGGCCCAGACCTCAGCGCCGGGTCCCGGCGACTCGGCGGCCGGCAGGGAGGCGTCGAGAACCGGCCGCGGCCGGCCACCTGCGCCCTTCCCGGACCCCGAGGCCTGGGCCGACCGCCGCCCCCCTCCCTCTCTTCCCAGGCCCGACAGGCCCGCGGCGCCCGGCGAGGAGAGAACCCCGTCACCGTGCAGGACGGACCAGGGCCGCCGCGCCCCGGGGGAAAGTTGCAGCCCCTAGGTCTCGGCCTCGCCGCCACATCCCACTTCCAGCCCTGGGCCCGCTCCCCGCGCCTCACCAGGTCATAGTCCTCCTCATCATCGCACATGAAATCATCCTCCATGTCAGACATCTTGGCCGGAGGGGGGAGGGGGAGGAGAAATTAGAGACAGCCTCCTCCCACAGTCCTCCGCGGCCCGGGAGCGTCACTCCTGGTTCTCCCCGTCTTCCGGTCTCTCCTAGGGAAGATATGCACATTCCGGAACCAAAGAGCTCGCCCTTGAGACAATTTACACGGCGTCCAAAAGGAGCGCACAGTTCGCTCTTCCTGCGCGACAGTTGGTGCTTTAGTAACTAAGCAGAGCAACTGGGAAATCGGGCGCTGCGGGTTCTGTCTGAGGGGCTTCGGAAACCTTCTAGCAGATTCCAGCGTCCTAGGTGAGGGAACAGTCTCTTTCCTTGCCTGGGACTCTGGAACCGCCTCTTTCTAACGAAACATGCCCGTCCTATATGACAGGTAGTGTGCCTCTGCCATTGTTATCTATGTATTTTTATTCCAAACCTTACGCTGGGTGTATTTACAGCAACACAAGTTTCACGTAATTTTTAAAATTGTAGCTGACAAAAAAAAATTTGTGGATATCCCAATTTAGGTATGCATTAATCAGTTATTCAATTATTTAACGAATCGAACGGGTATTAACTACTTTCAGGATCAAATTGTAGTAACAGTTGATGACAAGCTTTTAAAAATGTGTTATATAAAACTATTAGAGTTCAGAATGAAGAAAAATTTAAAATAAGGCAAACCCTGTGTTCTGTTTTGTATATTTATTTATTTTTGACGTAACCCTCCAAAGTCTGTACACTTCATTCCACAAATGCTATAGTTATAAAATGGATATAATCTTAGGAATTTTGCCCAGTTGTGTATCTGTACAGATCAGCTAAACATGCCCAAACCTCCAGAGGTAAAGAACTTTTATCTTCATCTGGTCCAGCTGATGTTGAGCACAGTTTAGCATTAACATTCACGCCATCGTGTTGAATCCTTAAAACCCAAGCTTAGGTGTGCCCCAGTAACTTCTGTTATTACCAGTTTTCATCTGAATCCACTGGGGAACAGGATCATTTTCTTTTTGTTTCTAGGCCAGGAATTACTTGGTTCTGAAAATCTTGTGAGAAGACATGTCGAGAAACAGGCATGCCAGTGGTTGAGTTACTTCTATATTGAACATACTGTGAACAAATTTATTGCTATACTTTCAGAATGCTACAAAAATGAGTCTTCAAACAATTTTGTTTTAAATATCGTTAACATTGCTTTCTTTCTTTTGTATCTTTTGAACCGAGGAGAGAACTCAGCCTTGTGTCAAGTAAATGCTCCATTGCTGAACTACTACTCTAGCCTGACACTTACTTGTTTCTTAGGAAAATATTGCAAGAAGAAATTTCTGCCTAGTTTACAAAAGTAACACCTTTTTGGTCCTAGTTTTTCTAACAATAGTGTCCCCTTACCTGTAACCACATAGTTTTCTAATAGTCTTTTCCTCTTAACATTTTATCATGAGGAATTCCAGATTGAAAATACATTTGAAAGGATGGAATAGTGGACACAAATAGACCAATTATCAGCCTTAATGTTGTGTATTTCATAGGTCAACTGAAGGATGCATCTAAAACAACATATTATTGTACAGCTATGTGCATTGCCTAAAATTGAGGACATTCTCTTATGCAAACACAGCATAATCATTACAAAGTAGACCGATAACCCTCTGATAGCATTTAATTTCCAGTCTTTGCTCAAAATTCCTCTACTGAATATAAAAGTTTGGGTTTGGAATATCCTTTAATCATCTTAGAAACAAAAAATTTCCAAAAGTACTGCATGAATCTGTACATGTGATTTTAGAACAAAGCAAAGCTTTTCAATAAGTGTGGTGACTGAGTGTCCACCCCAGTGCATTGGGACGGGTCAGGCCTAGTGTGGTGACTGACTGTCCACCCCCATTCACTGGGACGGGTCAGGCCTTAGGCGCCTCCTGATAGCACAGGAGTCCATAGCACTCACTGCTCTGAGAGCTTAGGGTGATAAATCAGTTACTCTACCAGTGCCTATCCTTTTCCCAAATCTCAAGACAGTTAAGAGTTTTATTCGTGCATAATTTTTAAATACAAATGATAGAGCAGTGATTATTTGCTATGCTAATTGTTTACATTTATAAAATGGCATGCCGATTTACAGTGCATTTATCTGCATAATCTGCCATTTTTTATTGTAATGTCTTACTCATATAATGAGAAAAGATGAGTAATTTGGTACTAGAAATACAAAGAAAATGGCATCTAAAATTTGAGCTTTGCATTTCCTTGGTGACACCCAGGTTTATTAAGCTCAATCTGACAACTTGATAAGAGCTATTATTAGATATCATTTTATTCAGTAATAAGTAATTGATCATTTTTTAAATAGGTTGCTCTTGTTTAATGTAGATGTTATGTTTTAAGTTTTCTATTTTATTTTTATTAAGGATCTAATTTTTTTATTTTAAATTATGTATATGTGTCTGCACATGAGTGTGTGCAGATGTCAGAGGTATTGGGTCTCCCAAGAGTTGGAAGTCATAGGTACCTCTTTGTCATGAACATTGGGTCCTCTCCAACAGCAGCAAATGCTCCTAACCACTGAGCCTTTTCCACTGCCCCTTAGACTTTGTTTTAATTGTGTGCCTGTGTATGGTGTGTTTGTTGAATTTGTATGGGGCATCTCTGTGGGGTCAGTTGTCTCCTCCCACCTTTACATGTTTCCAGGGACTGAACTCTGCTAGTCAGACTTTTGAGACAAGAGCCTTTCTCACTGACCATCTCATTGGCCCCCAGATATTTTTATTTTTATTTTTATTTATTTTTTATCCTTACTGTTGACTATTTTCATAATTATTTTATTGCTTTATAAATAATTCCCCAAATATTTTAAAACATATTTATTGAGGTGTAATTTATCTGTGTTATAGAAAGTTAAGCTGGCTTTTTAAAATCTATGTTGTTGCTTGCATCAGTTGGTTGTTTGAATCTATTGCTGTATGCTCTTTTTTTGGATCTCCCATAATTATCTTCTTGTTAATGGATATGTGGGTTTTTTTTAGCTCATGGTTAATATAAATAAAATTGCTGTGAATATTTGTGTGCACGTTGTTGTGTGAGCATGCTTCATTTCTCCTGAGTAATGTGGTAGGTGGTAGACTGATTCCAAGATGGCCTGTCATCCATGCCTTCTGATAGTTCTCTATTCCTTGAGTGTGGTAGGCTGTGACTTGCTCCTAATCAAATGATGGAGAGAAGTTGACAAACATAGTCATATGTACATTGTCACACTAAACAAGATCAAGTCTTCCTAGCAGCAGACGCTTGTGCTGTGCTGTCTTCAAGAAGCTCAAGTGTTGAAGTTGGTGTGATGGTTAAGCTTCATTGGCTGTTTGTTTTTCAAGACAGCGTTTCTCTCTGAGGCCCTGGAACTTGCTCTGTAGACCATGCTGACCTCAAACTCAGAGATCTTCCTTCCTCTGCCTCCTGAGTGCAGGGACGGAAGGTTTTCCCCACATGCCTGGCTGGTTAAGGTTTATTGTCAAGTGAACACAATCTGGACTTGGTTAGAAAACAAGCATCTGGATATGCCTGTGAGGGGGGCTATCTACATTAGCCATGTCCTCTGTTGTGTGAATCCTTCCCCAGCTGAGCCTCTTTGAAACAGAAGATCCATCTAAGGTACGCCCTTACTTCTGAGCGACAGAGATTGTGAGATAATAAGTATGTATTACTTATTATTACATATTACTAAATTTGTGGTAATGAAGTTATAAAGCAGTGGATACGTACAAATAAATCTACAAGTGCTGCTTGGGTCACACCAGAAGTGTATATTCAACTTTGTAAGAAATTCTCAAACTTTTCTTGAATAGTTCTACTATTTAGCCTACCTAGTGGCAATACCCTAGTTGTCTGTCTTGCCACCATTTAGTATGAGCTAGCCTAGTTAAATTTTAGCTGCTTTGTCAAGAGCATTGAGCATTTTAGTGGCTTTGGTTTGCACTTCCTCTAGGCAGATGCCGTGCGTGTGTGTGTGTGTGTGTGTGTGTGTGCGTGTGCGTGTGTTTCTGTGTAACTGTACTTGACAGTTTTTTAGCACATTGTCTATAAATTTTTGAATGTGACAACAAATGATGAAAGTTATCAGTGTTGAGCTTGAGAGCCATCATCCTCATTACACTTTCTGGACACATGGATATGTCGTTCCTTATTCCTCTGGCCCTAATCGCTTTATCGGGACTGGGATCACATGTTTGGAGTCCCCATCTCCTTCATGGCAAATTCCCGGGTTTCTTGGAGTGTCCAGGGGCATGATTCATGAAACCCACTCTGTGGATGCGTTTGTTGATGTATTCTCAGGTCACCTCCTCATTGATGGCATGTCCCCTCTTGTCACCACCCTTCTTTGTAGGAGTCATTCTTTCAGGCCTGAGTTGGAAGGATTCGTTTTATTTCTTGGGTGAAAAACCTCTTCAATTTTTTTACAAGGTTGTTTATCTTATTACCCTTGCATGGCAAGGATTATTTTTACTTTTTTGTGTTGTGTCTAAGAAAGCTTTGCTACACTTTAGGACACTATTTGCTGACTTGTTTAACAGTAGGGTATAGGGGTCAGCTGGTAATATCTTACTGGAACAGATGTCTGCTGCCAAGCTTGATGACCTGAGTTCAATTCTTGGGACTCACATGGTGGAGGAAAGAACTGACACCCGTTAAGTTGTTCTATGTCTTCTGTGCCCATGCACACACACACTATATAAATTTAATTTAAAAGGTACAAGGTATCAATTTCTCTTGTGAAGGTAATGTAAACATCTCCTGTCTCTCTTCCCAGATAAGGAGAACTGGTATGCAGTCTTCATAAGCACACTGTTCTAAACCTTAGAGATTTTCGTGCATAAGTTTTATACAGGAAAAAGCTACTGAAAGCCGGCAATCGAAGGACTGATGCCGTCACTCTCTCTCCGTGTGACTGACGGGATGTTTTCTGTTCCAGCCTTCACTGCCCTGTGCGATTGTCAGCCAAATAAACCTTTCCTTCCCTGTGTTGCTTTTTTGTCAGGGCATTTTTGTCACAGCCACAAAAAAGTAATGCAGTACCCATGCGCAGTGTGACCTAACATGTCTAGCTTCAACTGTCAGCCATTCATCCAGTTTTGCCTGTGTATTGAAAACTAATTGCCAGGCTTTGTGCCAGGTGCTGAGGACACCCATCCTGCCCTCAAGTTGCTTACATACAGTGATAGGGATGGTGAGGCAGCCACTAGACAGACAATACATTCATGAGAAAATAAATATGCAGGGTAACTTTTTACAGTTCTAAACAGTGATAGGGTACATGTGGATGGTATGCTTGTGATAGGGTCCCTGGGATTTCCCTAGGCAAAAGAAAAGTGAGGGCGAGCTGGATACTGAATGAAAACATGA